GTAAGATGAACACTCAAAGATTGCCAATAAAAGTGTCATTCCTGAAATGAAAATATTCAGAAACAGATTCAAATTATGAAAACACAAAAACAGTATCATGCAGCAAGATTATTCTTAATGATTTGGAATCTTAGAAAATGCCTAAACTCCTCTATCTATCTACTTATCTATCTATCTATCTATCTATCTATCTATCTATCTATCTATCTATCTACCTACCTACCTACCTATCTATCCATCCATCCATCCATCCATCCACCCATCCATCTACACACCTACCTACTTACCTATCCATCACCTGTCTTCTAATGTAGACATATGCACAACCATATGGGTCTATGCAAAATATTTTCAGTGAATTGTTATTTTTTTAAATAACATATAATGCAATGATGTGACCACAGTAAGTAATTCATCAAAAATAATTTGCTGAACTGGACCTAATAGAAGTTGGACCCTAAAGCATAGAATGTGTCCCAATATTGAGGGCCTCTTTAACCAGAACAGTGAATCATGTTCAGCACCATGAAAGTATGATATCCTTCACTTTTATAAAGTATTCTATATGATTGGTGCATTTTCTCCATCTTCTTTACCTTGATAATTAACAATTAACACCTCAAGGGTCACCTTCTCCAAGGTACCTCTCGCATTCCCATACAATGAATTAGGTGTCTCATTACATTCTTCCATAGCACTCAATATTTGCCTTTATGGTGACAAAGTTTATCATTCAAAATATATGGATATTGATCTGTGTGGTCTACTGCACCATGGTGTCAATGAACATAAAGCTGTATCTTATCTAACAGTCCGTGGTATCAAGTCTGGAGCCTGGCTCAAAATAGAAATTTCTAAGGAAACCAGGAAACAAAAGGTCCAATATTACATAGGGACAACTGAAAAGTGAGTTGTCTTCAGTGTTGGAACTCTCAATGAAATTCCTACTGACACAGTATTCCTGCCATGCTCTCCCCCCTAACACTTACAGATTCCCCCTCACCATAACTGAGATTAGTTCAGAATTAGGGAATTGAAGTTTTCCTTAAATGGAAACAGATTGTATGTTTGATTCTTCATAGATTGTAATGAAAACACCTATTATGAAACAGTGAAGAGCCACAAGAAATTGAGCTCCTCAAATCAGGAGGTTCTCCTTGATGTGGACATTATCACTGCCCAGTATTTAATGGTTTGGGGAGACAAGGGATTCTAAATAGGCTACATCTGCTCCAGTTCTGGGTGGCCAAACTGATTTATAGTAAGATTTTCTATCTCTGATTAAATAAATTGGTAAGTTAATCTACCATTTTGTACTGTGTGAGTATGGCTGGGTATGTGTGCTCCTGAATTTGGTGCCTATCTGCTAATTTTGAAATATCTCAGAAAGTCAAGGAAAGCTTTATAAGTGAAATGACATCTGAAAAAGGAATTTTATAGATGGTTAGAATTTTATCTTGAACAGCATTACATGTAAGAGGCTTTGAGATAGAGGGGAAAATGTATAAAAGCATGGTGATATTCAGCAAGAGAGGAAAAGTGGGTGGAGCATACAATTAAATAGGACTGGTATTTAGAAAAAGTTGGAAGTTAAGTTTGGAGAGCTAGTTTGGTCCTTGACATTGACTGACCTTGAAAGTCAAATTAGAGCTTAAATGTTAGCAGGGAATGGCATAAAATAGGTTTCAAAAGAATGTTATTTAATAAATTACACTATTTGCTAACCATTTAGAGCTAATGCTGCTTTGATGGTTTCAAGCTTCTTTAGGTTTAACTACTTCCTACAGCTCTGCTGCCCCCTTCCTATTTTTTCACACAGAAATATACATGAGAAATTTCATAATAATATGAAATCATTCAGGGTCAGGCTAAGGAGAGACCACCTTCAGGAACTATTTTGAAATTCTACTCCCCTCAAGTATTTTTTTTTTATTTTTTTTGAAGATTTATTTATTTATGCATACAAGGACTGGGGAACAGGCCAGAGGTATGGGGGGTGAGAGGATTCACCAGAGACAGAGAGGGGAGCAGAACAGGAGGATCTACTGAAATATACTGCTGAGGGGATCAGCGTGCAAGTCAGGAGAGGTCTGCTGCACCATGTGGGTAGCTCCTTGGCTGGGGATCGAACTCATGCTACAGTAGCTGCGGACAGCTTCATAGGTTGCATCTTAACCCTTTGCACCACCAGTGAGGCCTTTTAGTATTTTTTTAAATTCAAATTTCTGATAAGCATCAGCATTTATATTCGAGTTAGTTTTGTTTTTATCTATTTCTTCTACTAGAATATGAACTCCTTAAGCATAGAAGACTAGTATGATTTCTAACAAAAGCAAAAACACAATGATAATAATTATTACTAGGAACCACACAGTGCTTACTGTGTGATAAGAACACATCTGAGAACATTACACGATCCACTCAATCAGGTTTTTCTGATGATGAAAATGCACTCTAAGAATGGCACAAGCTCCTGTACATGAATGAACCAGAATTCTCAACCAGAAGTTCTGGGTCCAGAGTCCTTGCTCTTAAACATCTGCAATGCACATCCTTTATAAAAAAACATGGATGGTGCTTTGTATATGTTGCAAGTAAATGTTAATAATATACTCAGAGTCTTACCATGAACAATTTAATCCATGAATCCAGAGTCTTACCATGAATAATATATGTATTAATTCAGCAAATATTTATCAAGATATTTTTGTTTTGAGTGCTATTTATTTCCTCAGCATTCAATAATAAACCAGAATCTGTACCCTCATAGACCTTAGAGTCACAAGGGATTATAAGGCTACAAAATGTCACTTACAAATAAAAATTCATTCATTCACAGTAGGTATCAACATCCAAATTACATCTTCAGCAATAATTTGTACTGACAAATGTAAACCTGAAGCAGTCTTGATTATTTTAGAACATTCATATATCCTTTTGGACATTTTATCGATATGCAGTATTATTGCAAAACAAATTTAGTAAGAGTCATATAGCTGGAAAATTTTAACTAATGACTTTAGAAAAATGATTTTCTTGCTCATCAGGGTATACATATCAGAAAGAATAATTTAACCAGTTTGAAAGTCATACTTTGTATTGTGGAAACCAATAATTTTAGATCCTCGAGTAAGCTTTTGAAATAATTCTTGACATTTGAATTAATCATATTATAAATAGCTGCTTACCCATGTCTTATTCCATCCACTGAGATGAAGTATTTGAAATATATATGCCAATCAGTTCCTCATGTATCCAGTTCAGGACCACAAAGAAGCCACTACTTTCTCCTCATTTAACATGCCAATGCATATACTCTTTAAGAATTCCTTAATGTCATGTTAAGTGAAATATAGACATACTGGTACTCACACAGTGGCCTTTTAGAGAGGTACGAAAGAACCCAAACATAAGTCTGCTTCCTTGGATGCAATCCATGGCTGTTCAGTTTCAACAACATGGCTAAGTAGATAGATCATCCCAGATTAATTTTTGAGAGGGCCTTTATTAGCATTTTTTCTAGATTCTTACACTCTCTCCTTTCTAATATGACTATCAATCAATTAGTACCTAATTCATACAATATGTCAAATATTTTTAAGGAAGTTACCTCGACATATCAGTATTTTTAAAATGATAACTTTAAAATACTGTGAATAACCAAACACAGCATCACCAGCTGGCCTCACTTTCCACAATATTGATACCACATTCAACTAGAAGTACTCTTACTTGTACACCATAACTGGGTCTCTCCCACTGCAACTCCTGTATTTTTCTATGTATTGATTTAATTATTTCCTTTTGTCATTTTATTTATTCTAATCTTTCTACATTTTCATGGGCCATTTTAAAAGCTGAAGACTTGTCGACTTCAGCCTGTCTTCAACTGATACTTAGCATATAGGTTATAATTGTCCAACATTATCATATTTGCGTGCAGTGATTTAAAAAATATTGTTACTCACAAATAGTGAAAAGAGAAATGCAATAGGAAAAATCTTTATTTAATAAACTCTGGAGAGATGCAAATGACAATTTTTTTTCAAATTACCCATCTGATTTGTTAGACAGCCCAATCAAAAATAGATTCCTTCCTTTTGTATTGCTTCACAGTTAAGCTACATGGATTCAAAGAGTTTCCAGAGAATATCTAAATTATTAGTCAGGAAAGAAACTACATTTCCCTAATGCATAAAACCCATGACTTAGAATTCATGGCCATTTTAAGTTGAATTTTATATGAACAACAACAGAAAATATTACCCACTGTTAAAATTATTAAATCAACTCAAAAATGCTTAGTTTAAGATTAAATCATATAAAACTAATAAGTTCTATTAATTCACATATTATTACATACATAGCCTGTAATATATAAATGATTATTGATTAAAGAAAAAACAATGTATCAGAAAGCATAACTAATGTGTGGGTCATTTTGAAAGCACAGACAAAACATTGAGAAATGTAACATTTTCTGACAGTAATTTATTACTTTGTTGCATAAAACAAACTAAAAATTTTATCCATTTTGATTCTAGAACAAGAATGAACTCTATCTCCAGATTTTTAAGCCATGTAGAAAAAAAATAATTTCAGATATGTTCTGATATTTCATGGAGGGACAAATTCAAAGAAAATAAAATCTAAGCAACTTACATTGTTTATAGTATAGTTCCATTGAGACTAGTTTTCCCTTATTTATATTGTCCTTTGTTTTTCCTTAAAATATGTCATGACTAGCATAAACATTAGACATTCTCCAAATCATTGAATTCAATTACCTTTTGCCATTGTGCAGTGTTGCAATTAACTTTTGTACTTTTTCATCTTCCATATCACTCAGGGAAGGATAAATAAAAAATAAACTATGCCTCTATGTAATTTATCTGCAAGAAGAGAATAGACTAGTTTTTGATTTGTAGCTTTGAGGACCAGGATGCCAAAATATGTACTCAACATAGGTACATCACATTAGGAAATGTTGTATCACTTACCATTCAGTTTACATTTCAGCAACCATCTCCAAACAAAAGTGGCACTGAAAGAAATAAAATATATATATATATATATATATATATATATAAAATGAAAATATAAAAACTGAATATTTCATAGTAAACTTAGGAATTATACTGCCAAAAAAAGTATATTAACAAAGCTACTATTTAGATAGGTGGTATTTAGACAGTGACAATAACGACTATTCCCCATGGAAAAGCAAATCCTGAAAATTGATCTTAAAATTTATGGCTAGGAAGGAATTCTTTAAACATATCACTGAGGGTTAGAATGCATTAAGGAAAAAAAAATAGAGATGCTCGTATTTTTCATAGTTTTTTTTTTTTTTTTTTAAATCACATGGGGATTGGCAAAGTTCTCTAAGGGGCAGAAAGTAAATATTTTAGCCTTTACAGGCATGTAGTCTATTTCCCAATTATTCCATGCTGTCTATGTAAGTAAAGGAATAGGTATAGCTATGTTCCAATTAAACTTTATTGACAAAATCAACCATTTATTTGGGATTTGACCCCTGGCCACAGTTTGCTGATTCGTTGCAAGACTCACTGAGGGTTCCAAATCAGCAATATCAATCCTAATACATGGCAGACAAATGAAAGATAGAGAACCACTGGGGCAAAATAATTGTAGAGTTCTTAGTTTTGGAATAAACTATGTGGTTATTTAAACCTGTGGAGTTCTCTGTTCCAGGATGATAGATGAGACTCTAAAAGAATAATTATGTGTAAGTATAAAAAAATACATTGTACAAATGAGGAAGATAACAAAAATGTGATAGCAAATATGACACACATATTTTAAGAATATAAAATTTATTTATGCTTTGAAAAAATATGCTAAATAATAGCATGATTCTTGGAACCTAACTTTTGTTGCTCATTAATCAGGGAGTTCAAGTCCTAAATAAGGAAGAATAACATATTGGAATTAAAGAGACTTATCAGGTTATCTTTATAATCTTTGGGAAATGAGTTGAGAAGATAGTCTAGAATGAATTGTTACAGAACAGGTGTGATGTCAGGCTGAAAGGTGTAGTGAAAGATTCCTTACAGCAGTTTCACTATTTGATCATCAGTTAACCAGTATGTAGTATTACTAGAAACAAGAAGACAAACTGATTTGCCAACACAGTCATCCAGGAAACTATTACTTGTACTCTGAGTAATATGAGTTGACTCAAAACTGGGAAAGAGATCATGGAGAAGAGAAACAACTATATTTATTTCAGATGGAAAGATTTAGTAACAAGAATTCCTGCCATTATTTCACAGCCTTACATGCTACAAATTCATTTCTGAATTTTCAAATGTCTCTTTGTGGTAGATTTCAAAGTAAACTTCAATATTTCATATACATCTAATGCCCCTCGTCACCACCTCCACACACACACCCCTACACACTCATATTCCAAGCTGGGTATTTTCCATTTTTAATGACTGACTTGTCCTAGTAACTTTACCTATATACTCAAAGAATGACTATTAAGCAAAGCAAACAAGTATTAAGAAAACATCTTTAACAAATATGAGTAATGGCTTTCTTGTTATTGTTCATACAACTACCGATTGTGGGTTCAAATGTGTCTCCCTCCCAAATTCTTATGTTAAGGTCCTGGTCTCCAGTTCTACAGAATGTGACTGTATTTATAGGTAGGACCTTACAGAGGTAACAAATGTTAAATGAGGTCATTAGAGTGAATATTAATCCATTTTGACTGTGGCCTTATAAGCAAAATAAAAAGACACGCACACAGAGGTAGAGCAATGCAAATACACAGGGAGAACCCAGATGGCCGCAGAAGAATTCTATCCTGTCAATGCCTTGATCTCAGATCTTGTGCCCATGAAAGTATGAGATAATAAATGTCTATTGGTTCAACAACCCTGGTTGCATATGGAGGAGAAGGTAAGAAAGGAAGTCTCATGAAAACAGCAGGTCTCCACTCTAAAAGAAGGAACTGGGAAAGTTAGTTGAAATTCATGTAGTTGAAAACTATACATTGTAACTTTTATGGTACATTCTCAATTTTTGGCTCTGCTATAGAGGCCAGATGTTGGAATTACAATAAACCATGAAACTGTCAAAAATGAAGGTTGTTTCACGAGACCTTGACAATCTGCTTACATTGCAGATAAAATTAAGGCTTTTAGTTATTAATGTGTTCAGTGTCACAAAGATAGTGATTTATAGATCATATATTCATTACAGAATCATAGTGGTCTTTTCCCAAACTTAATAAACTATGAAAATGGCTTCAGTAGCCAGTTCAGTCATTGCTTCAACAAATGTTTATCGAGTACCTGCTTTATTCCAGACACATTCTTGCTATGTCAGATAAAACATCAAATAATCACAGCAGACTAAGAGACCTGCTCCTTGAATTTACATTGTCAACAGCGGTGATGGAAAACAAACAATAATCACAACAGGTAATTATATTACATATAAAATTAAAGGAGGTGGACAGGAAAAGCATGGTAGGGTAAAAGGATTTGGGTTTCAGGGTAGAAGTTGACATGGAACAGGGGAGGAGGCAGTGTGTGATTTTAATTAGATGACAAGGTAAGGTCATTAACATTTGAACAGACAATTGAACAACATATGGAATCTAAACAGATGTCTCTTTCTGTAAAGACTGAATCAGGAAGGAAATTCTGGTATAAGGATTTATGGCAGCATCACAGGAGAAGAACAAAGGACATGGGAAGTGAATGGCAGGGAAAGAAGGAAATTGAGTCAAATAAGGAAAGCAAGGAGAGGGTATCTGGTTATGGAGGGCTTTGGAGGCCATCAAAATGATATTGGAAAGGGGGCGGAGCAACATGGCGGCGAGGAGACGCTGCGAGTAAGATCTCCCATTAAAAAAAGTTAATAGGGAGGAAAAGCGGCAGGTCCCAGTGAGAACCGGGACACGGAAGATAAACGGGTGACGCCAGCAAACTGCCCGAAGAAGAAAGTGGCCATAAAAGAGGACTAGAAGGGAGGGAAGCGCAGAACCCTGCTCCCCTCCCCCGCCCACAGAGGCTGCACTCTCTGACCAGCAGAGAGGAGGAAACAACAAACCAAAACGGCCCACAAGAACAAACGACACAGCAAGCGGGACTGTGAGTGGAAAGGAACTATTGCAGCCACCACACCCCGTGAACGGGAGCTGAGGCGAACCCTGCAGGATCCGCCGCGGCGGTGAGCGAACGGCTCCGGGCGCCATTAGAGAAGAACAAAGACCCCGGGAGACGCGCACACAGCCCGGGCTGCCGGTAAGCTGGCGCGGAAACGCAGCGCGCTCGGGGAGCTTGAAAAGCAAGTGCAGACCTGGATCGCGGCTGCCCAGGTCCCCGCGCCTGCAACCTAGGCTTGCGGGGAGACGACCTAGGCTTGCGGGGAGACGCACGGAGGTCCTCACTGAGGTGAAGGTCCCTCCCTGAGTGAGCAGGAACCAGGAGCCCAGGCACGGGAGCTGTGCAAAAGGCGCCATTCCCGCGCCACTGAACTGGGCTACAGCCCGCGTCCTGGAACTGAGGGCTTTGAACTGAGACCCGGGGCACGAAAATTCGGGGCGTGGGTTCTCCACGACGGTGGGGCACAAGGCAGACACAGCACCCCAAAGCTGTTGAGGTGTACCCTACCATTCCCGCTCTGTTCTCTGTCCCACGGGGTGGGGGGAGGCGAAAAACAGCCCCCCAAGGACAATAGGAGAGATCTCTGGCGCCACCTAGCAACCAGGAAAAAAAAAGTCACTAACACCCTATAAAACAGGACATTTCTTAAGACTGCTTGAAAAGGGCAGAAGGTTTCTGGAGGACCCAGTGGCCAGCCGGGAAGTTATTCCACGCCAGGCCCCTTCCGACCAGCAGTCTGAGCCCACAGAGGGAGCAGGCACCCACGTCCGGGGCAGACCGGGTGCGCAGAAGAGTGTGCCTGAAACCGGAGGCGCAGGGACTGCATCCCGCTTTGCCATTTGAGAACAGGGACATTTCTTCAGTAAAAACTGCCTAAAACCAGCAGAAAGCTCCCCCAGAAGACAGAGATGGCTCCTGGAAGAGTCAGAGGGGAGCGGAGAAGTTCACCCAAGATGTCAGTCAGTCCGAGCAACACAGTGTCCCAACGCATACGACAAATTAGAAAACAGACAGTAGGGAGTAGAAGAACCACACGCAACCTAAAAACTCCTCAGGAAAGAAGCACACCACAAAAAGAAAACCACTCCCAGATTGCAACGACAGCAACTAGGAAGAACTTCTGAGCCTTCCAGAAAGAGAATTTAAAATTGCCATGATTAAAAAAGTGATAGATCAGAAGAAGGAAATTGAGTCCCTAAAGAGGGAAGTAAGAGAAATGCAGGAGATCAAAGAATTAATGGAGGAACTAAAGAACTCTGGGAAAAGCAATGAAAGCAGAATAGATGAAATGGAAGAACGAATAAGTAATCTTGAAGACACAGAAATAAAAAGAACCAAAACAGAAAAGGAAAGAGAAGTACGAAGGAAAAAGAATGAAGAAAGACTTCGGGAACTATCTGACTCCATGAGGAAAGGAAATATAAGAGTTATAGGAATTCCAGAAGGAGAGGAGAGAGATGTAGGAACAGAGAAAATATTCATGGATATAATTGAAGAGAACTTCCCAAATGAGAAGAAGGAGCTGAAAATTGATATACAAGAAGCAAGAAGAACACCAAACTTCCACGACGAAAGGAAAAACACAGCAAGACACATAATAGTAAAGCTCCCAAGAATCCAGGAAAAGGAAAAAATAATGAAGCTGACAAGAGGGAAGAAACAGATAACATTCAAAGGAAAACCAATCAGGCTGACATCAGACTTCTCTGAAGAAACACTACGGGCAAGGAGAGAGTGGAGGGACATAGTCAACAGACTCCAAGAAAACAGATGCCAACCAAGAATACTCTATCCCGCAAAGCTCTCTTTCCTCCATGAAGAAAGAATATGGACCTTCCCAGACAAAGAGAAACTCCGGGATTTCATTGCGACTAAACCCCCACTCCAAAAAATACTACAA